CCACCCTTTGGTGGCCAGGACAATGAATCATGGCAACAGCTATGGTAGAGCTACTGCCTTTAGCAAGGCCAGGATTTCTAATGGGTGTTTGACATCCTTGTTACTGGTGGTAAGGAGTTCTCGCACCTTCCAAATGGCCCTGTACATGTGGAGATCATGAAAGAGTACTTTGAGTCAGTAAATATATTGACTCTTTTACCTTTTGAGAGTTCCAAGGCACGGGTCAGGGCTATTAATTTGGCTTTCTGTGCTGATGTACCTGGAGCCTTGACTTCTATGGTGTTCTGGAGCGTCACCACTGCGTATCCCGCATAACGACGGCCTTTCTCCATGAAGCTGCTGCCATCTGTAAATAGTTCCCACTCTGGAACTTGCAGATGCTGATCAGTTAGATCTGGTCAGCTGGCATACACTGTGTCAATGGTTTCTAAACAGTTCTGGATTGAAGTGGCATCCTCAGGTCCGTCTGCATTGCTTGGGAGCAGTGTAGCAGGATTTAGGGAATTGGAAACCTGCAGTTTCACATTAGGATTGTCTAACAGAGCTGCTTGAAATGCTCTGAGGGGGGTTTTCTAATGGGCTTCATTAGATCAAGTGGAGCCTCTGGACACCCCTATTCTTCATCTGAACCTTCTCTATGTACTACCATTTGTCTCCTTTCCTCTCTCCATGGTTCTGGGTTCTGTGTACTCCGTCAATATTCCCTCCTGTAACCCCTGCGTGAATCATCATGTTGTGGTGTCATCTGGCTTCCTTCCAGCCTCTGTCATTATTTCGTCTGCTGCTTCCCTGTAATCTGGGACAACTGTACTTCCAATGTCCCTCTGCCCTGCAGTGAGCACACTGATTTCTCCCTAGGGGTTCAATTCTCATGGGTCCACTTCTCTTGGGTCCTCTCTCCATTCTGTTACTGTTTCCCTGAAACCCTGTCCTGTGCTCCTTTTGTACAAAAACAGTCACAGGCTTCGGTCTCCTGTCCTCTCTGTTGTTATAAACCCGAAATGCCAAGTCTACTAACTGGGATGGACTCATCTCTGTGACAACGTCCAACTTTGTTAACTTTCTTCTTATGTCTAGGATACTATGCGTAATGCATGACATAGTGATCAGAAGAGTGTTTTCTGGGGCTTCTGGATTTATATCTGTGTGGTCAATATATGTCTGGATAATTCTTTCAAGGAACTCCTAGGGATCCTCATTAGCTCTCTATTCGAGCTGTAAGAATTTATTGAATTTTTTTGTTTGTTTGGGGACTCCCTGCTGCAGTCCTACCAGTAAACATTTTGTATAGAGCTCTGACAGCGCCATTCCCCCATTGTTGGGGTCCCAATTGGGATCTACCACTGGGACAACCATCTCTGGCTCTGGGGATTCTCTGTCCTGTTGGTGGAGATGGTCAGCCTCCTCCCTGGCTTTTCTGAAAACCATTCTCTGCTTGTCCAGAGTCAGCAAAGTTTGTAGCATGGACTGTGTGTCTGCCCAGTTATGGTGGTGGGAGAGGAAGATAGAGGCAAACAAGTTCACCATCCTCTTAGGAGGCTGCCTGTACGAGGGGACAGAGCTCCAATTTAGGAGGTCCACGGTGCTAAAAGGATGGTGGGACCAAAAGTACCCAGCAGGTCACCCATGTTCATTCAAGCTACCCATCAGCATCTGTTGGAGAGGAAACTGTCCTGCTTCAGGATGATTCTTCCTGCCAAAGTGAGTGCCCCATCTTTTGTGGGGGGGATATGCCATTTTTTTTCTTCCCTGGAGGGCAGTGGAGGCTGTGAAGCCTTAGGTGTTTGAGCAGGAGAGAACTTGTCACATGGTGAAGGACTTTGTCTTGATGAGTTTAAGGTGTTTAACAAATGATAATCCTCCTCTTCTAACTCTGCTCTCTGCAGTCCTCATGAGAAGGGGAAGGTTTATCCTTCTCTGTGCTATCAGCCAAGCCTCCGCCATATCCAATTTATGGAGGGCGGCCTGTAGCTGGTCCTGCATACTTTTAAAAGCTTGATCCTGCATGCTTTTAAAAGCTGGCTCAAAAACAGTATGGTTTTCATCCCTCATACTCTTAATAGTTAAATCAAGAGCCTGAATTTGTTGTTGCATATTCTTAGTATGTGAAGTAGAACATCTCCCTCTCATAGAACCAAGAATGTAGCAAATGGTGCTTACACACATTACAAAAAAAATCCCCAGAAGCAAAGATTGTAAAGTAAGGATGGCTTGTAAACCACCCCCATACGTGTACAGATGTAAAATCATGTGCCATGTACCAGGTTTTATCAAATTATTTACATTTATAGGACTGATAATAATATTTAGTGGAAAAAGTCTATGTAAACTCAAGGCCAGAAAAAAACTGAAAGAACTCAAGCTAGGGATAAAACTGCTTAAGCTCATGGTTGAGACCATGTTTGGGTCAAAAACACACCCACAAGAGAGAGCTGTACACAAGGGGAAAAAAAAGCAAACTTTTCAAGACTGGAGGCAAAGATTACGCCACATATCCTGCAGAACTAGTGCACTTAGGGTGACCATCACAAGGAAAGTTACTTCAGGTTAGTCAACCATGGATGTAACTTGGTCAACCACATTGGGCACCAAACTTTTACAGGACAACCCCCATATGAAACGGGTTGCCTGACTGTGAGTCCGCACCCGAGCGCTTAAAAGGGACTTATTAATGCTAAACTACAGGCACACACAAAAGGTTAATAAAAGGTTTATTTACAAAAGAAGGGGAAATGAAGAAATGAATAACTCAGGGAGAAAAAGGGAGATAAATTCGTGAATGTGTCCTACCAGTTCAGCTGAACTGGAATACTAATAGCATGCTGAAAGCTGGCGAAAAGCCAAGAGCCATGAGGCCAAGAGAACAACCCAAGCCCACATGTCTGGTTTTATACCCAACCTGGCTGCTTAACACCACCCTCAGGTCCCAGCAACCCTCCCTTTGGTGAAGATGGTGTTTGTAATTCCCAATGTCTTGATGGCTTTGGTCGAGTGGGGGTGGAGTCCACAAAGCCTGTACGGAGTTTGCTCAGGACATCCTTTCCCCCTGATATTGTCACTATATTTTTTATTTTGGAAAAAAGTTTTCATAAAAATATTTTATTCCTGGGCCTCCCCTGATGGCACAGAGGTTGAGCGCTGGGCTGTGAAGCTGCCCACAGCCTCTGCAGCGCCAGTTCGATCCCCAGCCGCCGGGCGAGGGTGCCACATGGCGCACAGACCTCTCCTGCCGCCCGCTGCTCCCCTCAGCAGTGTATTTCATCAGTCTGGCTGTTCTGTTCCCCGCTCTGGCTCTGGTGAATTCTCTCACCCTCCTGTGCTTCTGACTGTATCCAGTGCTTGAATAAATAAATAAATTAAAAAAAATAAATGGTTTAAAAAATATTTTATTCCTATTAATGTGTAGGGTTGTTAATATTGTTCTAAATGAATATGTATTTTTTTTTAATTTTTGATCTCCAGTATGGCAAATATTGATTGATATAACCAACAAAATTATCTTGGATTCTCATTCATCTGTGAGAGTGTATACAGATCATAAAGACAAAAATTTTGAAAATCGCTGATTTAAACAGACCTGGTACTCGGAGATATGGTGTGAGAAAGGCTACTCACAAGGCAGAAGCAAAGACGCCAGAGCCAAGAGCCACCTGCAGGAGGGTCGGGACACAGTCCCAGCTCTCAGGCTGGTTCTCAGAGCTTCAGGCCTCAGGACAGTGTTTGGGTGGGGAGCCAAGCAAAGGGAATATTCATCTCCACTTTGCCCTATCACAGGCTGCGCCAAGTCCTTCACCCTGTACATGCCCAGTTCTAATTCCCTGTACACGACCGTCCGGATAAGTCAATCAGTGTCAAGGTTTTCCGGGTGTAAGTCTGCACTGGGTTTTAGAGTCTTCCCAGAACAGGAGGATCCGGAATATGCCGCCCCCAACCTTCCTCCTGCTGCTGTCTGGGGCCCTGGTCCTGACTGAGACCTGGGCAGGTGAGTGCGAAGTTCGGAGGGGGTGGCTTGGGCCGGGGAGGAGCAAGAGGGCCGCCTTGCGGCGCAGGACCCAGGACCTGGGAAGGGTCCCTCGACCACCCTCTCCTCAACCCGCATCAAACTCCACACCTCAGTGTCCTGCTCCTCCCTTTCACCCACTCCTGTGCCCCGCACTTTTCCTGCCACCCCTTTTCAGTCTCACGAGTGCCCTTGCTCTCTCCCCCTGCCCAGCCCCTTCATCCTCGGACCCAGACACTGGCGCCCAGAGGAAAGATGGGGTCTCAGCCCCTCCTCTCCCCCAGGCTCCCACTCCGTAATATACTTGCACACCGCTGCTGCAGGAGGCCTTGATGCCCCAGCCAGATAAGATACTGGCAAGCAGTGAAGGTAAAGGGCCTCACACCGTGGGGCCGAAGCTAAAGAGCCTCACACCGTGGGGCTGAAGATTCCTTTTGCCTCACACCGTGGGGCTGAAGATCTAACATTCCTTCATTTTTTGTTCTTGATCATAAAAAGAGAAAAATTTATCAGAAAAGTACATTAGGCAATAAATTATATGTATCAGTAGACTGCAAGCAATTGGCATGGACAATTACCTGTTTAGATATTAGTTATTAAACAATTTGGCCCACTTGACAATGGGAGATGATTTATTGTACATATCTGACAAGCAAACCAGCACAACTATTATAGTAAGATCTTCTTTTGCTTTTTTAGAAGTTCCTTTTTATTTAGAAGTTTCTTAGGAAAGTTTTTAAATGAAGTTAACTGAGTTAAGAAGTTTGTAGGTGAAAAAAATTCTGATAGCTGAGCAGCAGCTGGTCTCTGACTGAAGGCCATGTGAATAAAATAGTCTTTTGATGCTGAGGCTTTAGCTGATAGGGATGTACTGGCGGCTATCCACTGTCTTAGGTAATTATCTAGCTGAAATAATAAGTTTTAGTGTTAAGTCTGGTTTTTTATCTATTAACCTTGAAGGCTACCGTCTAGCTGGGACCTGTAGGAGCCAGTAGTCCATGGGAACATAATACACTAATTGTTTCTGCTTTACACATGATAATGTATTTTTTCTCTGCTTACTAAAAATGAATAAATAAAGACCTGTTGAGCCTCTCGGCAGAAGATACTAGCACCTCACCAAGTGTCAGTGTCTCCTCATTCTACCTCATCCCCTTCCCCTCAGTCCTTTCATTTTCGCCAACGCTGTCTCATCCTTTCAGGAACCCCTGACATGACATTTTGCCAGAGGCTGGTCCCCCCGATTTCCCAGCCCGGCTCCGGGGAGCCCCGCTTCATCTGCGTGGGCTACGTGGACGACACGCAGCTCTTGCGGTTCGACAACAACTACCTGAGTCTGAAAATGGAGGCAACAGTGCCGTGGATGGAGCTAGAGGGGTCGGAGTATTGGGAGAGCCACAAGCGGATTGTCGAGGGCCACTTACACCTGTCCAGGCTCCGACTGAACAACCTGCGGATACACTACACCCAGAGCGGAACAGGTGTGTGATCCCCACCTACGGGCAGGGGTTCCCCCCAGTCTCTGGGTCGAGGCCTTGGAACTTTAACCCTGTTTCTGTTTTAGTTTATTACAAATCCCCAAAAGCTGTGCTTACCTGGGGATGGGAGGTGCTAAGTGGCGCGGCTGACGTGGCGGGGGCGGCCGGGGTCTCACACCTTGCAGGTGAGGGATGGCTGTGAAGTGGGCCTGGGCAGTAGCCTAAGCCGCTTCAATCAGTTCGCCTACGACAGTGTTGATCCCCTCACCCTGATGGAGGAGCTGTGCGCCAAGACCCCAGCGGGCATGGAGGTGCAGACCTGGGAGGGTGAGTGGGAGGAGGTCCTCGCCTCTGAATTCCACACTCCCAGCCTGGAACGCGAGTGTGGCCAGTGGCTCCAAGGACAACTGAAGAAAGGGAACCGGACACTGCATGCAAGTAAGTGTTGCCTCGGGCCTCCCCTAGGGCCAAGGCTGGCGTCCAGCACAGGGAAGGAGAGTGGGCTCAAGGCCAGATACCACCCTCCTATGGCCCCAGAAGTGAGGAGATGCCTGAGTGTCCAGATCCTGGAAAGTGACCCCTAGAGTGCCAGCCCTTCCTGGGGGCAATTAAGGAAGGCGCTCTCTCCAGGTGAGGAACAGTCCTGAAGTAACTGATTCTCTCTGATCCTGGCGGTGTTCTGGTGAGCCATGTATCTCTTGCTCACATCTGGTTCTCAGTGGTCTTAGTTCTGACTCCAACTTTCCTGAGTCACTTGGGCCTCTATCCAGGTCAAGACGAGAAGTCTCTAGTCTGTCCCTCAGAGCCCTGCAGCCTGCTACCCTGAACTGTTGCACCCTGATTCTAGAACTTTCCAAGGATTAGGAGACAATCCCAGTGATCCAAGGCCAGGCTGGTGTTCCAGTTTTGCACTCTGCCCATCCAGTGCAATTATCTGTCCATTCTCAGGATGGTCACATGAGGCTGCTTCAGTGGCCTATGAAAGTAACCCAAAGTATGAATTTTCAGAACTCCCAAAGACACTCGTGACCCACTATGCTACCTCTGACCATGAGGTAACACTGAGGTGCTGGGCCCTGGGCTTCTACACTGTGGACATCACCCTGACCTGGCAGCGAGATGGGGAGGACCTGACCCAGGACATGGAGCTGGTGGAGACCCGGCCCAAGCGGGGTTGGAACCTTCCAGAAGTGGGTGGCTGTGGTGGTGCCTTCTGGAGAGGAGCAGAGATACACGTGTCGTGTGCAGCATGAGGGGCTGGGCTTCTGGAGCCCCGAGTCCTGAGATGGGGTAAGGAGGGGGTTATGGGCACAGAGCTTCTCAGGGGTATCAGGAGCCCTTCTGGAGCCCTTCTGGAGCCCTCCAGCAGGATGGGGGCTGAGGCCAGAAAGTCAGAGTCTCAACTTTTCCCTTCCAGAGCCACCTCCTCAGTCCTCCTTCCCCACCGTGGATATCATTGCTGTCCTGGTTCTCCTTGGAGCTGTGCTCACTGGAGTTGTGATTTGGAGGAAGAAGCTCTCAGGTAGAGAAAACCTCATATGAGGTCTGAGATTTCTTGTCTAATGTCTGCTTGATACTGTGAGGCATGATCCCACACACATGCGTTTTCTCAGATGAGAGCCAGGTTTGCTGACACTTTTTTGTAAAGCACATGAAACTCCTTTGTATGAAAAATGAAGGACAGATATTTCAACCTGATGACTTTGGTCATGGGGACCTCACTTGAGTAGCTGCAGGTAAAAAGGAAATGTCCCTGCTAAGGACGGAGGAGGCTGGCCCAGCTCCCACACGTGCTTTCTCCTCATGTTCCCCAATCCTGTCCTGGAGCCCAGGACAGGCCAGTTCCTCAGGACTTCTTGGTCCTGCCTCCTCCCTGGCCTCTCACAAAATGTTTTCTTCCTACAGGTAGAGAAGGAGAGAAATCCTACATCTGGATATGTGGGGTAGGAAGGCCATTAGAAAAGTGTAGATGGTGGACCTTCCTGGTGGCACAGGGGGTTGGGCATGGCACTATGGAGCTGTCCGCTGCCTCTGCAGAGTGAGTTCGGTCCCCAGCCAGCCAGGGAGCATCCCACATGGCTGTCTTGCCCGCTGCTCCCCTCAGCAGTGTATTTCAGTCAGTCTGCCTGTTCTGTTCCCCACTCTGTCTCTGGTGAATCCTCTCACCCCCTGCATCTCTGGCCTGTATCCCAGCTCTTATATGCATAAATGGATAAATCTTTTTTTATTTTTGGTGGTGTTTTTATTTATTTATTTTTATAGAGGCATTTTTATTTATTTATTTATTTGTTTGTTTGTTTGTTTATACATGCACTGGGTACAGTCAGAAGCGCGGGAGGGTGAGAGAATTCCCCAGAGCCAGAGTGGGGAGCAGAGCAGGCAGAAGGACCGAAGCACACTGCTGAGGGGAGCAGCGGGCGGCAGGAGAGGTCTGCGCGCCATGTGGGACCCTCCTCCAGTGGCCGGGGAGCAGCCAGGGATCGAACCGGCGCCGCAGAGGTTGCCGGCAGCTTCACAACCCAGCGCTCAACCGCTGCGCCACCGGGGAGGCCCTAAATGGATAAATCTTTAAAGAAATAAAAGAAAAGTGTAGATGGAGTCCATGGGGGAGCTCACTCACCCCATAATCGCTCCTTTAGTCTCATCTTCTGGGCACTCTAACCAGGTTCTGTTTTCTGGTTTTGCCCCAACCAGCTTTTAAAGTAAAACTCTGGGGCCTCCCTGGTGGTGCAAGGGTTTAAGATGCAACCTATGAAGCTCGCCACAGCCACCACAGCACGAGTTCGATCCCCAGCCAAGGAGCTACCCACATGGCACAGCAGACCTCTCCTGTCTCGCCCGCTCCTCCCCTCCGCAGTGTATTTCTGTCAGTCTGCCTGTTCTGTTCCCCACTCTGTCTCTGGTGAATCCTCTCACTCCCTTCCCCACACCTCTGGACTGCACCTTAATTCTTGTATGCATAATTTAAAAAAAAACCCTATACCCTGGCAGAGAAGCTGGGGGTAGCATGTCATTTTCCTGAAGGGCAAGCCCCTTCCACCCTCCTACCAAAAGCATCTGGCTGCCCCAAACCTGCCCACAGGGGTTGCAGGCTGCCCCCTTCCTGCCAGACCAGCCTCTGCAGCGCAGGTTCGATTCCCTGCCGGCAAATATTGACAAGAAGACGAGGACGGTGATCTCCGTGGAGCGGTTCCAGGATCAGGTCACCATTCCCATTTCCACCATAAGGCCGGGGTGGTCGCGAGTCTTAGGGTCGACTGTACCTCGAGGATGGTGGCTCTGCCAGGCCCCTCCTTCGGGAAGAGCCGGGGAGACGTTCCCGCCTGCCCTTTCATTTTCAGTTTTTGCTTTATTCAGGGTGAGAGGCGGGGTGATCGCCAGGTGACCTCGGGGCTGACCACAGGGGTGGGTTTCAGGGTCTCACACGCTCCAGAGGATGTTTGGCTGTGAAGTGGGGCCAGACCTGAGCCTCCTCGGCGGGTGTGACCAGTTCGCCTACGACGGCGCGGATTCCATCTCCCTGAGCGAGGACCTGCGCTCCTGGACCCCGCGGACTCGGGGGCTCAGATCACCCAGCGCGCGTAGGAGGCGGCGGGCAGGGCCTAGCGCGTCAGGAACTGTGTGCAGAGCAGGTGCTTCCTGTGGGGAAGGAGGTGCTGCAGTGCAGAGGTAAGAGTAGTCACAAAACCTGGGAACTCTGGTCTCCTGTCGCCCCACAGGGAAAATGGAATAATGGGCAGAACAGCACCTGCTTTCTGGGCAGAGAGGGAGAGTCCCCCTGGGTTTCATGTTCTGTGCTAGAGAGAGACTCGCCCAGAAGACACCACTTTTCTGGACAGTTGAGGAATCCAGTCTCTCCTGAGGGAGGGGAGGCCATCCTGAAATAACTCTCCCTGGATCCGTTTAACCCAACAGCCATCTTGGGAACCATGAGTTTCTCTTTCAAGGTCTTGTTTTTGGTCTGAGAACATTTCTGGAATGTTCTCCTACCTTTCTGTGTCAATCACCCTCCACCCAGGTCAGGAGCAAAAGTCTGTGTTCTCCTTAGAGGCCTGCGTCCTCCTACCCTATGCTCTCACCTAATTATCCCAGATTCTCCAGATGAGGCTGGTTTCTGGGTTTTGTGCTTCCTCCCTCCAAACCAATAGTCATGTTCACTCTGAGGATAGTTAGTGAAGCTGCTTCAGTGTCCAGAAAGGAAAAACCCCAAGTGTGATTTTTTTGTCCCTTCTCCTCAGATCCGCCAAGGCACATGTGACCCTCCACCTCATCTCTGAGTATGAGGTCACCCTGAGGTGCTGGGCCCTGGGCTTCTACCCTGTGGATATCACCCTGAGGAGCTGACCCAGGACACACAGCTGGTGGACACCAGGCCTGGGGCCTGCGGGGGATGGAAACTTCCAGAAGTGGGTGGCTGTGGAGGTGCCTTCTGGAGAGGGGCAGAGATACACATGCCATGTTCAGCATGAGGGGCTGCTGGAGCCCCAAGTCCTGAGATGGGGTGAGGATGGGGATGTGGGTGCTGAGCTTCTGCTCAGAGGAATCAGGAGCTCTTCTGGAGACCTTCAGAAGGTCAGGATGAGGCTTGGGACTCAGGGTCTCACCTTCCCTTCCCTTCCAGTACCATCTCCTCAGCCCACCGTCCCTACTAACTCTACCGACTCTAGCGTGGGCATCATTGCTGGCCTGGCTCTCCTTGTAGCTGTGCTCACTGGAGCTGCGGTGGCTGCAGCTGTGATGTGGAGGAAGAAGCACTCAGGTAGGGAAGGGAGTGGGGGATCTTGGTCCACTGGGGGCTTTCAAGTCCCAGGGAGAACTTGCCCTGCCTGGTTAATGGGAAGTACCATCCACACATGTATGTTGCCCAGAGGGCATTTGGTCCAGTCCCCCCGTCACCTCCTTTCTTCATTTTTCCCAGCCCTGACCTGGGTCTTTAGTCACAGTTCTGGAAACTTCCCTGTGGTGCAGGATTAGAAATTCCTTTAGGACTCACATGATGTTTCATCCCACAAGCTGGCTTATTTAGGGTGTACATCTCGGTCAATTACTGGACAGTTTCCATTCATGATGGTGATTTTCATATCTTCAAATCTTAAGGCTATTTATTAATGGCTCAGCTCACCAGACACACCTTCACCTCTTCTTTGACTACAACTGTGGACACTATTTTACATTGCGGGATAGAATTGGAGGCTCATTCAAAAATTCTTCCTCCTTTGAAAGGAAAGGACCACAGTTATGTGAAGAAGGTGACAGAAGAAAAGCAGAGCAGCCAGCAGGGAATGGTGAAAAAATAAAAGTTATTCCAGGGAGAAGTTACAAAGGCTGAGCAGATAATCGCCCAATTAATAAATATTTTTAATGAGGGAGAATACTCTACATCCAGCCAGGAGACATAGCGGTGGCAGCATCTGAAACTCCCCATTGAGGGCCCTGCTGAGGGATGGTCATGCTGAGAGACCAAGAGAAACCAACCTCCTGCGTAAACACCAGGGGTGACCTAAGAGGTGACTGTGTCTTTCCAGCCAGTGAATCTGTAACTTATATCCTCAGCACTAATTTTTAAAAAGGTGGAGAGAAAGTACATGATGGAGGGGACCAGGTTATGTCCTTTTGCTTTAATTTAACTCACCGCATTCATTAAGAAAAACCCATTGTGTTTAATAACACCAAGGCTCAGCGCCATAACAAGGAAACACAAATACAGGATTCAGGTGGTGCCTGGTGTCAGGAGTGAGCTCCATCTTCTGTGCGGGTCCAGCAGTTCACGGGGAAGCCTCAGCGTGACAGCAGGTCTGATAGGATCTAGTAGTGACTGTGCAAAAGACCCACTTGCTAGCAGGTGTGATGACACTGTCATCTCCCTACACACAGGAAGCTTCTTCTCTGGGGACATTGTCAAATGTTACATGTTACTGATCAAGAAATAAGCTGGAATTTCTAAAAAATATCCATACTACCATGATTCAATCCGCATGTGGGATTATTTCACTAACGATTTTGATGGTTATTATTTAAAACCATTATGTAGTAAGCGTAGAATTATGTGATTCTAAATGTATTTACAAAGGGAAACTTCATGCCTAAGTTGTATATTTGGCTACTGGATTTTTCACTGAACTGATACACTGCACTTTTGCTATGTTTTAAAGTGAAAGTGAAAAAAACTATACTTTTCTATAAAAGGAAATAATTGCCAGATATTTAGGCTTGACACTGAAGATTGGTTTGGAATTCATAATCTTTTCTCTGAGTAAGATGTGTTATCAATGGATCTTTCTGGACAGAGAGTGACATGGTGCAACTTTTCTTTAGAAGCCCCAGTCTGGTTGCTGTGCAGAATCAACAGTGCAGGGTGAGAGGTGGGAAGATAAATGTAGGAAACTAGCACAGATTCTAGGATGGAAAACTTGGTAGCTTTATGGGGTGTGATGACGAAAATAATAGGAAGTTGTTGGAGCTGGATGTATTTAGAGATGGACTTTATAGCATTTCCTAATGTGACATCTGGGTTGTGAGAAAGAAGGATCAGATGCCACCCAACATTTCAGACTGTGAAGTAGAGATGTGCAGGGCCTGTCACTATCCCTGGATTTCTCACTCATTTGATACAAATTCACAACACAAATTTTCCAAGTAAAATTTACTAAAGGCAATAATAGATACATGTGAATGTGTATATGCCTGTATATAATAGTACAGTGTGTGACACTGACTCCAGACCCCTGTGGCTTACCCAGCTCTTTCCTACCCCCTGAATGGTGGGACATGCGGGCTTTGTTGGTGCAGCTGCCTCAAGGGGCACAGCCAGAGAACAGTGGGAGCAGGAGTCTGAAAGGGCTGGCAGCAGCAGTGGTGGTTTCCTGCCCTGGCACCTGTGTGTGCAGGTGGGAACTGGTGGGCACAGCTCTAGAGGTGGTGGCAGAAAGGGGTGTCCTGTCAGGGGCCAGGCAGCCTTCAGAGGGCCCCTCCCCCAGAGCAAGCCAGGGTTAAGCACAGGAGCCCCTAAGGCTTAGGCTCCCTTCCCTGCCCCCCCAGAGGAGCTGCTTCTGGGCAATGCTACCGCCCTGCAGTGGGTGCCACAAGACAGCTTCGCTGAGGCCAACTCGCTGGGTTAGGGATGAGAGCTGGGGACACAGCTGGTTTGAATGGTGCCCACCCACCCTGGCAGGCTCCAGGAGGCCGCTGCTTGAGGATAGGGCCCAGGCCACCCTGACAGCTGTGTCCACTTCACCATCAGCCACCATCAGTGTTATGGACAAAGGCAGCAGCCAATCTGGCAGCAGAGGCCCTCTGTACCCCCACATACTGCCCCAGGGCATGCAGCCCACTGGGGCTACAGCAGCAAGGTCCCCTTTGAGACCTGTCATTGCTGCTGACTGTCCGGCACTACCTCTCCATGCTGTTGCTTCCTTCCCATCTAGCCAGGCCATCAGACTGTGGCTGTGCCTGCTGGGGTGTCTCCTCAGAGGTGAGCACCCCCTGGAAGCACCTCCTGCTGCCACTGTGAGTTGGATCCTCGCCCAGTGCTTGCAGCTGTTCCACCAGCTTCAGGCCCTCCCTGATGGGACTGTACCACCTTACACGGGCCGCCTTAATTTAGGATTATCGGACACTGTGGACACTATCTGGGGTGACACAGCTGGCCACAGAGGCCTTAGAGACTCTTTATTTCCCTGCTCTCCTGTTCATTAGAGAAACCTCACTGCTGTTCCCTGAGCCTGAGTGGTTGAAATTGAGCACACGGGTGAGAACCCACAGACAGTGCCCTGTGCTCTGCCTTAGCTCTGTCCTTCTGAGAGGGGCCAGGGAGGAAGGCCCCATACCTATTACAGGTATCTGCGCACACACAGGCTGCACATACACGCTACATGACTCATGATCTGTTTTCTTTGAACTAAAGCTCTTGTTTTAAACTGAGATCCTGCCCTGCTGATGCCCCAAAGAGTGCCGGACACTGACGCCCTCTGATGTACCAGGGGCAGGATAACCTGGAGGCTGACGGCAAGTTCTGGGGCTGATCATGACAGATGCCAGGAGTGTGAGCTGTGATGGGCTGTTTTGATGGACGATTTGCTCAGAACATAAAGGTTTGTCAGCACAGAGAGCACCAGAAGGACTCACAGGAGAGAGATATGTAGAGAAGGCTGCCTTGCTTCTTGGCTTTGGACTTGAACCAGGAACTTAGAGACATGGAAGGAAACATGTGGAAGAGACACCGTGATGGCCTGAGTTGAATCCCTGCCCAGGGAGCTACCCACATGGCGCCGCAGACCTCTCCCTTCTTGCCCGATGCTCCCCTCAGCATGGCATTTCAATAGATCTGCCTGTTTTGTTCCCCACTCTGTCTCTGATGAATCCTCTCACTCCCCTCCCCCGCCCACCTCTGGCCTACATCCCAGCTCTTCTATGCATAAATAAATCTTAAAAAAAAAAATGTTTGTTTGCATAAATCCAATAAAGTTCTTCTTCCCTTTCTCTTTAATAGACAATTGGAAATATGGGTATTTTACCAAGGCTTTGTCTGGAATGTTGTGTTTTCAGAAACCAGACTGATCTCAGAGCCTACAAGAAAACAGTAAACTCACACCTGTTTTCGGGGTACAAGGGTCTGTCATGAGGGTAAAGAAGGCAATGCCTTGACAGGTCCAAAACCCCAGGGATCTTGGGATCCTCAGGAGGGATTTCCCCGAAGATACAGCTACCGCAGGCCAAGTCTGATGGTGAGAGCTTGGCATGGTCCTGAGCCCTGACTCCTGGCTTTAGGAGCTCTCAGTCTGAGGGTTCCTAGGTGAAGTTGCAACAAAGCAAAATTAAAAGGTCTGCATAATAATTTCTGTTCCTGTTGAATTCGTGCAAACTGACTGTGGTAGTGTTAGGGGGAAAAGGATGTCCTAAAGTTAATTCCATACAGGCTTTGTGGACTCCACCCCCACCCCAGGCCAAAGCCAAAGACACTGGGAACTCCAGATCCCATCACCACCAAAGGGAAGGTAGCTGGGACCTGAGGGTGGGGTTAAGCAGCCAGGTGGATATAAAAGGCAGACACGTGGGCTTTGGGGGTATCCCCATTTTGGCTCTCCGCCAGCTCGCAGTGTCTGGCCAGCTCTGAGAGTGACTTTGGGTTTCCAGGTCATCGGATCGGGTAGGACACATTAAAGACTTTATTTCCCTATTTTCTCCCTGAGTTGTACATTTTCCTTTTCCCTTATAAATAAACCGTTTATTAACCTTTTGTGTGTGTCTGTAGTGGAGTATTCATAAGTCCCTTTGAAGCGCACGGGTGAGGACCCACAGCCAGGAACCCGTTCAATATCGGGGCTGCTCTATAACAGCTTGGCGCCCAACGTGCTTTGCAAGCTTCACCCGTGGTTGACCAGCCCAAAGTAATTTTTCTTGCGTTGGTCACCATAAAGCGCATTAGGTCTGCAGGACTCACAGTGAAACTCTTTGTTTCACATCTTGAAAAGTCTGTTTTTTTTTTCCCCGCACATACGGCTCTTGTGGGTGTGGTTTTGACCCAAACGTGGCCTCAACCATGAACTTCAGCGGTTTAATCCCTAACCTGAGTTCTTTCAGTTTTTTTCCGGCCTTGAATTTAAGTAGCCTTTTTCCATTAAATATTACCACCAGTTTGATAAGTGTAAATAATTGGATTAAACCTAGTGTATGGCACATGATTTTACTTCTGTATACATATGTGAATGGTTTACAAGCCATCCCTTTGCAGTCTGTGCTTTTGGGTGTTTTTTTGGTAATGTGCATAGGCGCCATGTGCTACATTCTTGTTTCTGTGAGAAGTGGTTATACTTCACATACTGAGAATGTGCTGCAACAAATTCAAACTCTTAACTTAGCCATGAAACAACAAAATCAGACTTTTGAGTCAGCTTTTCAAAGCATGCAGTATCAAGTGCAACAACAAAATCAGACTTTTGAGTCAGCTTTTAAAGCATGCGGGATCAAGTGCAACGACAAAATCAGGCTTTTGATTTAACTATTGACAGTGTGAGGGATGAAAATCGTAACGTTTCTGAGTCAGCTTTTAAAAGTATGCAGGACCAGATACAGGCCGCCCTCCATAAATGGGATATGGCAGAGTCGAAGGCTAGGCTAATGGTGCAGAGAAGAGATAAACGTTCTCCTTCCCATGAGGACTGCAGAAGGGCAGAGTTAGAAGAGGAGGAGGAGTATCATTTGCTAAATGATACTTAAACACATGTCCCTTAACACATCGGGACAAACGCCTTAAACACATTGGGACAAACACCTTCTCCATGTGAAGAGGCCCCTCCTGCGCAGACTCCTGAGGCTTCAGGACAAAGGCCTTCAACACGTGACCAGGCCCCTCCCGCACAGAATCCTGAGGCTTCACAGCCTCCATTGCCCTCCAGGGAGGTAGTTATAATGGCGTCTCCTCCCCACACTAGGAGCGGCACCCATTTTGGCAGTAACGATCGCCCTGTGGCAGGACAGTTTCCTCTTCGCCAGTTGCGAAGGTGGCTTGAATGAACATGGGTGACCTACTGGGTACTTTTGGTGGCACCATCCTTTTAGCACTGGGGACCTCCTAAATTGGAGGAGCTCTGTTCCCCCGTACCGGCAGGCTCCTAAGAGGATGGCAAACTTGTTTGCCTCCATTTTTCTCTCCCACCGCCCTAACTGGGCAGATATTCAGATAATGTTACAAATTTTACTAGGTCTAGATGAGCGGAGAATAGTAGTGAGGAAAGCCAGGGAGGAGGCTGAACGTCTCCGGCAACAGGATAGCCAATCCCCAGAGACAGAGATTGCTGTCCCAGAGGTAGATCCTGAATGGGACCCCAACAATGGAGGAATGGTGAAGTTGAATCTGTATAAAAAATGTTTATTGGTAGGACTGAATCCCCAAACAAAAAAATTTTAACAAAATGTTGGAACTTACACAAGGGGCTAATGAGGATCCATCAGAGTTCCTTGAGAGGATTATTCAGACGTATACAAACCACACGGATATAAATCCAGATGCCCCAGAAAATGCTCGTTTGTTCACTATGACGTTCGTCACAAACAGTGCTACAGACATAAGGAGAAAGTTAGCAAAGGTAGACGGCATCACAGAGATGAGTCCGTCCCAGGTAGTGGACTTAGCATTTAAGGTTTATAATAATAGAGAGGACAGGAGAGAGGACAGGAGACTGAAACCTGCGACTGTTTTTGTACAAAGAGAGCACAGGCCAGGGTTTCGGGAAAACTGTAATGGACAGAGACGTGAACCCCTAGGAAGAGATCAGTGTGCTTTCTGTAGGGAAGAGGGACATTGGAAGTACAGTTGTCCCAGGTTACAGGGAAGCGGCAGACGCAGTAATTACAGAAGGCAGGATAGAAGACTGAGGACACCACGACAGGATGATTCACGTAGGGGTTACAGGAGGGAATATAGGAGGAGTACACAGAACCAGGAACCAAGGAGAGAGGAAAGGAGACAGATGTTACCACAGAGTAGAGGCTCAGATGATGATAGGGAATATGGACGGAGAAGGAATCGAGCCCAGCACAGAGGACAGGAGGCCAGTGATAGCACAGAGTAGGGTCTCAGGTGAAGATAGGAGGGAATACAGACAGAGTAGAAGGAATCTGGAGCCAAGTGTGGAGGAAAGGAGACAAATGATAGTTCATGGAGAAGGTTCAGATGAAGAATAGGGGTGCCCAGGGGTTCCACTAGATCTTAAGCCCATCAAAATAACCCCCTCGGAGCCCCGGGTAACCCTCGCTGTGGGGGATTGTCTGATTGATTTCTTGGTGGACACTGGAGCAACATACTCAGTTTTAAATTCAAAATTAACTAAAATGAGCAAAAAGACTGCAGCAATCATTGGGGTTACAGGGAGGTCACAACAGACACCCTTCCTGCAACCTTTGGAGTGCTGGCTGGGCACCACACAGCTCCAGCACAGCTTCCTATACATGGAAGAGTGTCCGATCCCTCTCCTTGGTCATGACCTTTTAAGTAAGCTCAATGCACGAATTATATTCTCACTCAAAAATCAGAGGCTTCACCTACAGTTTCCTCCAGAGCATGCTCTGCGGTTCCAGATGTTGCTTACTCAAGATGCTCCACCAAAAGGTGAAATTTTACCTCCAGAAATTGTTGAAAGAGTAAGTAAATGGGTATGGGCTGATGGAACCCCAGGGCGTGTGAAAAATGCGGAGCCTGTAAAGATAGAAGTGATAGAGGGTAGCAAAACCCCGAGAAGGAAACAATACCCCTCAAAGGAGGAGGCCTTGAGGGGAATTGAGCCAGTATTGAAAAGGTTCCTTCAATCTGGACTCATTCGGCCCTGCCGCTCACTGTACAACACTCTGATTCTCCCAGTGCAGAAACCCCATATAGGCGAGAACCGTTTTGTCCAAGATTTAAGGGCTATTAATGATATTGTTCAGGATTTACATCCCACTGTGCCTAATCTGTACACCCTATTAACTGCCATACCTGGTGACTTTGGGTGGTTTTCAGTATTAGACCTGAAGGATGCCTTTTTCTGTATTCCAATTGATGTCCAGGATCAACTGCTTTTTGCCTTTGAGTAGCAGGACCCTAAGTCCAAGAGCACTCTCCAGTATTGCTGGACTGTGCTTCCACAGGGATTTAAGAACTCCCCAACTATTTTTGGGGAAATAGTGGCCAGGGATCTCAGGAAGGTTCAACTAAACCAGGGTGTCTTATTGCAATATGTCGATGATTTATTGATTGCAAGTCCAGACTATGAATCTTGTCTGGAAAATACCATAGTGGTACTGAACCACCTGGTAGAATGTGGCTACAAGGTGTCACCTAACAAGGCACAGATATGCAAACAAACTGTGACGTATTTGGGGTTTGAAATCAAGAAAGGCAGATGGAGCCTGATGACGGAAAGAAAACAGGTAATTTCAGCCCTTAGAATCCCTAGTAACTGGCGACAGTTGCGCGGATTTTTGGGTATGGCTGGGTTTTGTAGGATTTGGATTCCTAATTTTGGACTAATAGCAAAACCTTTATATGATGCTCTCAAAGGCCTGGACTCTGAACCTTTGTCTTGGACTCCGGAATGTCAAAAGGCTTTTGATGAAATGAAAGTAAAGTTGATTTCAGCACCAGCATTAGGGCTTCCGGATCTTAGGAAGCCATTCAAACTTTATGTACATGAGAGACAGGGGTTTGGCCTAGGAGTGCTGATCCAATTGTTGGGGCCAGAAATGCAGCCCATTGCATATCTGTCCAAACAATTGGACCACACCACTAAGGGATGGCCTCCATGTGTGCGTGCTGTGGCTGCCACTTGTGACCTCCTACATGAGGCAGAGAAGTTTACATTGGGTCAGCCCATCACTGTGTGTGTGCCACATCAGGTCTTGACATTGCTGGAGCAGAAGGGTGGACTTTGGTTAATATCAAGCAGCCCTGTTGGACAATCCTAATGTGAAACTGCAGGTTTCTAATTCCCTGAATCCTGCCACACTGCTTCCAAGCAATGCAGACGGATCTGAGAATGACACTTTAATCCATAACTGTTTAGAAACCATAGACACAGTGTATGCCAGCCGACCAGATCTAACTGACCAGCCTCTGCCGGATCCAGAGTGGGAGCTATTTACAGATGGCAGCAGCTTTATGGATCAAGGCCGTCGATGTGCTGGATATGCAGTGGTGACGCTCCAGAACACCGTGGAAGCCAAGGCTCTTCCGGCAGGTACATCAGCACAGAAAGCCGAATTAATAGCCCTGACCCATGCATTGGAACTCTCAAAAGGTAAAAGAGTCAATATATTTACTGACTCTAAATATTCTTTTATGATTCTCCACATGCATGGGGCCATTTGGAAGGAGGGGGGACTTCTTACCGCTAGTAACAAGGATGTCAAACACCCATTAGAAATCCTGGCCTTGTTAAAGGCAGTAGCTTTACCATCAGCTGTCACTGTGATGCACGGTCCTGGCCACCAAAAGGGTGGGTCTGACTTGGGAAAGGGCAACAGGGCAGCTGATCAGGTGGCTAAGGCCGCTGCTCGTTCTGCCCTCCAGGGTGCACTCATCCCTCTTGTGGACCTGACTCAGTATGCTCCTGAATACACCGAGCGGGATGAGGAGAGAGCTCGTGCATGGGGATTTACTGAGTTTGACCCCAGCTCTACTTGGAGAGTAAACTCCCATGGGATGATACTCCTCCCGGAGGCCCTGGTATATCCAGTGCTAAAACATCTTCATGAAGGATCTCACTATGGGAGAGATGACTTATTAGAAACGGTACACCCATATTTGAAGGGCCCATATTTGCATAGAATAGCACAACGGATCACCCGAGGTTGTCAACTATGTGCCAGGAATAAGACCAAGACTAACGCCCACCCTAAAGCCATTGGGGTTCAATATAGAGGCAACTGCCCTTTTGAGGACTGGGAGGTCGACTTTACACAAATGCCTAGAACAACAGGCAACTTCAAATACATATTGGTTTTTGTGGACACGTTCTCGGGATGGATGGAAGCATTTCCCACAAAGTCGGAAAAAGCTTCAGAGGTTGCAAAACAGCTGCTGAAGGAGATAATTCCTCGCTTTGGGTTGCCGGATTCTCTCCAGAGTGATAATGGGCTGACATTTGTCTCTGACGTTACTCATGCAGTAAGCAGTGCGTTACAGATCAACTGGAAATTGCATGCTGCATGGAGACCGCAGTCTTCCGGGCAAACAGAGAAAATGAACCACACCTTAAAGAAAACCTTGGCAAAACTGTGCCAAGAAACACAGCTTCGTTGGAACCAGGTACTATCCCTTGCCCTCCTCCGGATAAGAATGGTACCTGGAAGTGGGTTACAATTAAGCCCCCTTTGAAATTGTGTTCGGAAGACCCTTCCAGGCCTCAGTTCTGAAAGCCAGTCCGGAAATAGCACAAGATTGCCGGATCACACAATATGTGAAACACATCCAGGAGGTTCTGGCAGTAATTCACAACTTTGCAACCTCGAGAATCTCTATGCCTCCTGATCAACCATTGCATCCCTTCAAACCTGGAGATCAGGTCTTACTGAAGACCTGGCAGAGTGGGGATGCCCAAAACCAGCTGTCAGAAAAATGAACTGGTCCATATGACGTTTTGCTGAGCACACATACTTCTCTGAAACTTGCAGGCATAAAACCCTGGGTACATCATTCCAGAGTTAAGAAAGCGCCAGAAGGAACTGACCCAGAGACAAAGTCCCACTGGCCTTGTGAACCCATTGAGGACTTGAGATATTTGTTTAAGAAACAGAAAAAACCTTGAATGTTACTGACTTCTTTTCCAGTTATTGTTGCAGGATACCCAAGGACTCGTTTTTTTTTTTTTTTTTTTTTTTTTTTCTGAAAAATACCCTGAGAAAAAAACTAACATGCTCTAACCAATCTTCTTCCTTTCAAAGTTTAGGAGATATGAAATAACATCTAGGATCATGCATATGCTGGCAGTATTTTTTTTTTTTTACATAGAAAGGTTTTTCAATCTTGATTTTGTTATTTCCTATCAACTTTTTTTTTTTTTTCACTTTGAGGTTTTTTTTTTCTCTGCTTGTTTTTTTGCTATTACTTTGGCCTATCAGTGAAACTGCAGTTATATGGGATATCCCACTCGTGATTAATGGTAACTAAAGAGCTCTTTGTGTCTATATGTTGTCTTTCTGTATGTCCTTGTGTCTGGCTGTCTTGACCTCCAGTGATTGACAACTTGGTATACATGGTGCCCATAGACGTTGAAAAAAAAAAAAAAGTCTCCAGTTATGAGAAAAACTAAAAGTTATGGTTTGATTGTCAACATTGTGCTACTTAACTAAGCCGGTGCCTTCATAGAGATTGAATATTGTTGTTTCTGTTAATTTTCTGATATTTATGGCAAAGCTTCCCAGAAATCTAAATTCAAGTACAAATTTGGTAGCCTGTCATTTGGCTGATGCAAGGAAATTTTGTGGAACCTCAGTAGAGCTCCTGAGACACTCCACGAAGTTTCTCCCTTTCCTCCTGGGAAGGCATTAGATGAATTTGTTCTATTTGGCTTTTACCTAATGAAGTAAAACTGGAAGGGAAGCATTGTCACTTGGGAAAATGGTAAAACTTTGGTATGTACAAAATGTTAACAGTGGTTTTCTATAATGTGTATAAAAAAACCTCTCAGGGGCCTCCCCCAGTGGCGCAGCAGTTGAGGGCTGGGTTGCGGGGCTGCCCGCGGCTTCTGCAGCACCAGTTCGATCCCCGGCCTCCTGGGGGAGGGTCCCATATGTTGCCCAGACCTCTCCTGCTCCTGCCACCCGCTGCTCCCCTCAGCAGTGTACTTCCATCCTTCTGCCTGCTCTGCTCCCTGCTCTGGCTCTGGTGAATTCTCTCACCCTCCAGCACTTCTGATGTACCCAGTGCTTGTATAGATAGATGGATAAATCTTTAAAAAAAAACCAAAAAAACCTCTCAGTATCTGGTATGTATGTAAATTGTCAATGGTGATTGTCACCTTGTAATATTGTGTAATTCAATTGTTTCATATCTACATAAATTGTTTCTGGAAATATAGGGAGAAAAGGTCTCAATAGATTCCTATTGATGGAACTGTTGAGAGTAAAAACTTTCCTACAAAGGACTGAATAGACCTGGAAATACACCTGACATTTACTAAGTGTTCTTTGACATATTACTGGTAATTTTTTATGCATTTTGTCCTGAATCCACAAAGTTTTGTTTTGTTTTGTTTTGAGTAACCAGGATCTGCAGCAAGGTTGCAATTTTTTCCAGCAAAGCTAACTTATCACATTTTCTCTCCCCTTGATACCAACACAGCATACAAATAGTGGTAGCAATTTTTGCTACTTATCTCAGAGTCTGTTTTTGCATAACTTCCATAGGGATTTTGTCTGCTTAAACAAAAAATTGGACGTGAGTTTGATTGTGTGGCTTTGTGTGGAGTTCTTCCAGAAAGTTGAAAAAGAGCTGAACCAAGAAGAGGAGAACCTGTTTGCCTTGTTTGTAGGGTTCCAGAAACCTCCAAAGAAGGTGAGGAAGCTTGCCTCCATTGGCAGGACTGGACAACCCCGCCAACGAAAAAGCCCTGGTACCCTCGAGAAGAGGAAAAGCCCAGGTGGAGTCTGATGAGACCAAATTTGTACCTGAAGCCTACATCGACTGGATGCCAATGGTTCGCTCTGATCCTGTATGGAGTATTTCAACAAAGCCAGCTAAAAATTGCTGTTAGTTATTTTCTGCCCTGTGATTTTATGCAAAAATAGGAAAAATGGTTTAAAAGTAGATTTAGTTTGCAAACTTTTGCTATGCTGTTAAAAGTTTGGGATCAGGTTGAGAAAATTTGTGTTTTACATCAGTTGAACCATTTTAAGATTTTTTTTTTCCTGTGATTTTGACATATCTGCTGTCTTGTTTTGGCTAATGCCTCCAGATGTTTTTTTTTGGCTTGAACTGATGAACTATTTTTCCAGGAATAGAGGACTTTTGCTTTCCACAATGGACAAATACCTGGAAGGACAGGTTTTCTTTCACACTGGAACCTGGTAAAAAATGTTCATCTGAGACTGCATCCCAACATCCATATATTCGATCTTCATCACCATGGAAATGGTGGCAAAAAGTGAAAGGGGGGAATTGTTAGGGGGAAAAGGATGTCCTAAAGCTAATTCCATACAGGCTTTGTGGACTCCACCCCCACCCCAGGCCACAGCCAAAGACACTGGGAACTCCAAATCCCATCACCACCAAAGGGAAGGTGGCTGGGACCTGAGGGTGGGGTTAAGCAGCCAGGTTGATATAAAAGGCAGACACGTGGGCTTTGGGGGTTCCCCATTTTGGCTCTCCGCCAGCTCGCAGTTTCTGGCCAGCTCTGAGAGTGACTTTGGGTTTCCAGGTCGTCGGATCGGGTAGGACGCATTAAAGACTTTATTTCCCTATTTTCTCCCTGAGTTGTACATTTTCCTTATTTCCTTTTCCCTTGTAAATAAACCTTTTATTAACCTTTTGTGTGTGCCTGTAGTGGAGTATTAATAAGTTCCTTTTAAGCGTGCGGGTGAGGACCCACAGCCAGGAACCCGTTCAATATCCGGGCTGCTCTATAACAACTGGGCCTGGACTCAGGGACACGGTGTGACAAAGGTCTCTGAGCAGGAGAGAAGGAGATGGCAAAGTCCCAGGTCTCGGGGTGTGGCTTTCTGGGTCTCAGTCCCCAGCGCGGGGTGCAGGGCTGGAAGGTGACTGCTGGGGATTCGCCCTCTCCCCTCGGTTCCACGTCTGGGCTCACAGCCTGGGCGGGTCCTCCTGCCTGGATACTGGTGACTCACTCCGGGTCTCACTCCCCATTGCCTGGAGGTCTCCGGAGCAGCCAATCAGCAGCCCCGCGGCTCCCGTTCCAAAGCCCTCGCCCGCCCGCCTGGACTCCGTCTCCCCAGCCCGGGGGGAGGCGCGTCCTGGGGGATGGGGGGCGCAGCCCTCCTGCTCCTGCTCGCGGTGGCCGCGGCCCCGAGGGAGACCCGGGCGGGTGAGTGCGGGTCGGGAGGGGACAGGGCGCTCCCAGAGGCGGGAGCGAGGGCGTGGGCGAGGGTGGGAAAGGCGCGACCTCGCCGCCGCCCTAGGTGTCCCCCCACCTCGGCCCCGCCCCGTCCTGGCCCCTTTCCGTCCCCCGAGACCCCAGCCTCCTCTGGCCCCCCGAGTCCCGGCCATTTTCGTCCCGCAGCCGCTTTTCGGTCTCACTCGTCTTTCACCCACTTTCTGTCTCGTGGGCGCCCCCTGGGACTCGAGCCCCCGAAGGGGAGAAGAATAGCCCGGGTCTCCCCTCCCGCCCCCAGGCCCCCACTCCCTGAGGTTTTTCCACACCGCGATGTCCCGGCCCGGCCTCGGGGAGCCCCGCTTCATCTCCGTGGGCTACGTGGACGACACGCTGTTCGACCGCTTCGACAGCGACTCTCGGGGCCAGAGCTTGGAGCCGCGGGCGCCCTGGGCGGAGCACCTGGGGCAGGAGGAGCAGGAGGAGTGGGACAGGAGGACGCAGATGCTAAGGGAAATGACACTGTGGTACCGTGCGCAGCTGGACGCCCTGCGCGGCCTCTACAACCAGAGCGAGACTGGTGAGCTGGCGCGGGTCCGGGCCGGGTCAGCACCCCCATCCCCACGGACAGGTGTTGGGGGGTCGCTCAGGGTCTCCCCCTCCAGGCTTCTCTGCAACCTGCCCGGGAACAGCCCATGGGACATTCACCCCGTTTCATTTTGTTTAGTTTATTCCTGGCGGGAGGGGGGGGGGGGTGACCGCGGGGTGACTGGGCGGGGACAGGGTCTCACACCTTCCAGGGTATGTATGGCTGCGACATGGGGCCCGACGGGCGCCTCCTCCACGCGTACAGTCAGTTCGCCTACGACGGCACCGATTTCATCGCCCTGAACGGGGACCTGCGCTCCTGGACCGCGGTGGACACGGCCGCTCAGATCACCCGGAGCAAGTGGGAGGCCCAGGGTGAGGCAGAGAAGATCAGGAACGGTTTGCAGAACAAGGACTTGAGGTGGCTGCGCACATTCCTGGAGCACGGGAAGGAGACTCTGCAGCGCACGGGTAAGAGGGGCCTGGAGGCCTCCCGGTCCCCCCCTGCCTGGAGTCACTGCGGGAAATGAGTCCTCTCTCTAGTCCCGAGAGGGGGGCTCCCCTGGGGTTCATGTTCTGCACTAGAGAGACTCCCAGAGACTCCGGCTTCTCCTGAAGGACAGGGAAGGGATCCGTCTCTCCTGAGAAAGACAGACAGTCCCTGACATCACGCGTCACCGGGTCCTTTTGACCAGGGGCCTGTTTGAGAACCACGAGTTTCTCTCTCAGTCTTGTTTCTGGTCTGAGAACATTTTCAGTTATGTGATTCCTGCTTTTCTGTGTCATTCACCTCTCCCCTCCCCCCTCGTGGGAAATAAAGTTTGTGTTCCACTCCTTAGAGACCTGCATCATCCTAGCCTGGGCTTTTATCCTGATTCTAGAACTTTCTAACGAATAATCTTATTCTAACGAATAAGATTTCTATCGGAATCTCATAGATTCCCCCCACCCCCCACTACCCTGCAAGCTACGTTTTATGTTTCTTCCTTCCAAACCAGTTGTCCTGTCCATTCCGAGGATGGTCACATGAGGATACTTCAGTGTCCATGGAGGAAACCCAAAATGTGAATTTTCTGATTTACTACCTCAGATCCCCCAAAGACACACGTGACCCACCACCCCACCTCTGAGCATGACGTCACCCTGAGGTGCTGGGCCCTGGGTTTCTACCCTGCGGACATCACCTTGACCTGGCAGCGAAATGGGGAGGACCTGACCCATGACACAGAGCTGGTGGATACCAGGCCTGGGGGGAATGGAACCTTCCAGAAGTGGGCGGCTGTGGTGGTGCCTTCTGGAGAGGAGCAGAGATACACATGCCATGTGCAGCATGAGGGGCTGCTGGAGCCCCGAGTCCTGAGATGGGGTAAGGAGGGAACATGGGCACTGAGCATCTGTTTGGAGGAATCAGGACCCCTTCTGGGAAACCTCTAGTGGCTCAGGATGGGGGACCAGGGGCTCAGGGTCTCACTCTCCCTTCCCTTCCAGTGCCCCCTCCTCAGTCCTCCATCCCCACCGTGGGCATCATTGCTGGCCTGGTTCTCCTTGGAGCTGTGCTCACTGGAGCTGCGGTGGCTGCAGCTGTGATGTGGAGGAAGAAGCACTCAGGTAGGGAAGGGAGTGGGGGATCTTGTCCACTGGGGGCTTTCAAGTCCCAGGGAGAACTTGCCCTGCCTGGTTAATGGGAAGTACCATCCACACACGTGTGTTGCCCAGAGGGCATTTGGTCCAGACCCCCCTCACCTCCTTTCTTCATTTTTCCCAGTCCTAACCTGGGTCTTTACTCACAGTTCTGGAAACTTACTTGCGGTGCAGGATTAGAAGATTCCTTTAGGCTTCTGACCTGACTCCTCCCTGGTCTCACATGATGTCTCTTCCCACAGGTGGAAACGGAGGAAGCTACACTCAGGCTGCAGGTCAGTGTGGATCAGGAGTTGGATCCCTGAGCCCCTGAGGACAGTATAGGTGGATTTAATGGGAAAGTCACCCCCATCAGTCCCTCCTGTGATCTCCTCTCTGACCAGGTTCTGTTTTGTTCTCCCTCAGGCAATGACAGTACCCAGGGCTCTGATGTGTCTCTCAGCCCCTAAAGTGTCCTTCAAAATAAATCTGATTGAATAAAATTGTTCCTATTGTTTTCAGATTCAATTTAATTTTGCTGTTTGCTTTTATTTTTTTCACCCTATCTCCAGAGCAGAGTCTGCAGGGTCACAGTACAGAGAGGCTGTCCAGCAGCCTAGAGATGTGAGCAGGCCTGACTGACACACCTACAGGGAGTGGGACCCTGGAACCCCAGAATCAGTCCCCAGGGCTGGTCCTCCAGGGCAGCACAGGCCTTGCTCTGCTCTCCTCTTGGCTCCTAGCATTGGTGAAGTTGAGGATGATGTTCTGGCTCAGGAAATGGGGGCCTCCTCCAAACATCTGTCTTCTCTTCATCTCTCTCCTTCATCAGCCTGAGTATGTGTGTTTGAGTCACACCAGCCCTGCACGGACAGGAAAAGGCCCAAAACAAGTAATTTACTGGTCAGTTATAGACAATGCCTCTGCAGTTCTACCAGGAGAAAACAGAGATTCTCCCAGCCCCCAGCCAGAGCCCGTGTCACCCACACAGACCTTCTCCCGGCAGTGTCCCCGATGCTGCCCGTCCTGGCCCCATCCTCTCTGGTGCCCCCACCACTCTTTTTGGGCCCCATCCCCTAGTCCCCATTTTCATCCTCTGCTCCATTTCCAGGAGCCTCCCCATCTTCCAAGTCATGCCCTGGGAACTCTCCTCTGTCTGCCCCTCATTCAAGGTGGTGAACTTTAAAATATATATATTTATTTATTTTCTTACATAGTGGGTCATCTTTCTATAGTTATTGTTACCCTTAGGTGTGGTGCTCAACCAATAATCCACCCACATACCACCTCCAGCTCTTCTCCATTGGATCATTTCCGCTGCCCCCTGCTGCAGGACATGGCTCGATGGTCAGCTCATGGGCCTTGTCTTTTTCTAGAAAACTTGTCCTTTACCTGGGTGAGGTCCTGGGCTCCTGGGGAAATTGAAGTTTGATTCCCAGGAGGAGGTGCTTTCACCCTTGGAAGCAGAAACAAATTACAGAGACTCTGGAGTCAAAGGCTCCATTCCAAGACTCAAGGAATATTTGGAGGATCTTCCCATAATCTGGGAATCAGCTGTTAAAACCTGGAAACCTGGTTCTATCCTTAGTCCATAGGACTCACTAGGAAGAAAATTTGGGGACTTCTGACCTGACACTGGACTTGGGCGCCCCCTTGTGTGCAGATCCCTGTCCTGCCGCTGGGGACCCAGGGAGCCTGGGGAGGGCCTGGCTGAGCAGGAGAAAGGGCAGCTCTGGGCTCCTGTGCTCAGCCCTGTGGCCACACGGGGGCGCTGCCGCGCTGTTCCGGATTCTGGTGGAGCTGCCAGGTCGGGGCGGGGCCTGAGGTGGGCAGAGTTGGGGGTCCTGGGGGGGGGAGTCCTGGGATGAGATGCTCTGTGAGGAGTCAGAGAAGCAGGGCTCAGAGGAGAGGAGACTCCGGAGCCTGCCCTGGGTGTGAGGTTTCCAATTCCCCCCTCCCCCCCAGAATCCCTACTGCAGTCCCAGGATAACGATATCTGGGAAAACTGGAAAGTAGAAAAACTTTTCCTTCTCCAACCTATTAAATATTGAGGGTATTTAAAAAATAACATTTAAAGAATACTGTTAGACTTACAGAAAAGTTGCATAGGTAGTACAGGTTTTGTTTATACCACGCAGGTCTTGTGTATCCCATTTTCAGTGTTAACATCCTACATGAGTAAAATTTTTATTTTTACAACTAATGCAGCAATGTTGACATAATTACAAATCGCCATGCTTTCATTAGCAAAAGCTAATGTGCATTTTATGCTCCATTATCCCATCCAGTTTGCCTAGAAAGCAGTTTCTCAGGCTTTCCTTGTTTTTATAACATTGACATTGGTGAGGAGTGATACTCTGGAGAGGTGTTGGGGTCACAGATGGGGGTTCTTGGGTCACCTCTGAGAAAAGTTTCCCCAGAGTCCCCCTTTAAGTGGCTTGCGTGTGCATGCACGCGCGTGTGCGCACACACACACACGGAAAGAAGATGCTTGTGCAGACACAAGCAGACAGGAAGAGCTGCACCTGGAGAGGGCGGGTGTGTTAGCGGAAGCCTGCAGGTCCCAGGTGGCTGCCTTGGGAGCCCAGCTGAGTCTTCCCACAGTGCACTGGTTTAGTGTTCTAGTTGGGAGGGCTTCATTCCCCTGTGCAATTGTTATCTGTTTTTAATCACTTCTATGATGTGACTAGGCTGATTTGTCAGGAGCAGTGAGTCTCTGCAATGGCTCCATCCCCATATCCCAGCTCTGGTCTGAGCCTCCTTATACTTCTATAGTGTCTGATACTTGCTATAGCAGTTGGCCCAAAGTGTTTTTTCATTTCTGTAGTGGGTTTAATGATGATGTTAATCACTTCTGTCCCCTCCTCCAGTTTCTGGTCATGTGACTCCTCCATCCTGAATTTTCTACTCTTAGCCTCCATCAGAGTCCTGCTCAGGAATATTGTCCCTTAATTTAGGGTTTTTTTTTTTTTCTTTCTTTCTTTCTTACTGAGACTGTTGGTTTGGGGAAGTAGACCATAGGGATGCAGGGTCATTCTTCACTCAACACAAAAAGGGCACATCATGTCCATCTGACTCATCACTGATGGTGTTAACCTTCAACACCAGGCTAAGGCAGTTTCCCAGCTTTCTTCCTGTGAAACTTCTCTTTTTTCCATTTCTTTAGATATTGCAGTCTTTGGAGGGGTCTCAGTGTGGCCCTCAAACATATGTGTCATTTCCAATGGGAATTTTTTTGCACATTACCTAATTATTAGATTCTGGCTCACAGAAGACCCTGTGGGATGAGAAGTCACATCTACTTCTTTGGTGTGATAATTGGTATTGTTTATGATTTGATAACAGCAATGCAGCTACATTTTTGGGAATTATTTTCTAGAATTTAGATTTGTATCATTTTCTGCTGTATCTTAAGGAACTGGAGGAAACATGTCAGAGGAAGGCTGTGGTGTCCATGCAGGCCCTTCCCTCACAGCCTGGCCCAAGGAGAGTCCCCGAGTGTCTCCTCAGGGGCCTCTGCTGCATCCTTTGTCACATCTTCCCTCCTGGGGATGAATATGGGGAGTGAGCCCCCGAGCATGTGTGCAGGGGGTTCCCAGGACCCTTTTTGGCGGAAAGGACTTGATGAATAGCTAGAAGAGCACCAGAGCAGTATCTGCTCCTCTGCTGTGAGTCCAAGGGCTAAGCTCCAGGGACAGCTGTGGGGTCTCTCTCAGACGGGGCTGGTTCTAAGTGACTCACCTGGTGGCTTCCTTCGCCCAGCCTGGGCCTGCCTTAGGCCTTGTCCCTCGCTCAAGATGTTCACCTATTCTTGGATCTACCAGCAGGAAAGGCCCCTGTAGGGAAAGTGATTATCAGGCTTTTCTGCCTTCCAACCACTAGGATTGATGATGGACCCTGCGGTCCTGAATTGCATGCCTGATGGAGGCCCCTGGAGTGGGGGGTGGGCACACGTAGGGACACCTGGGCTGAGACTGGCTTATAAGGGTGGTGTCACGGGGACACCAGCAGAACAGCAAAGGAGAAAAGAATAGAAAGGAAATGAGAAGAGTAGAAGCACAGGAGCAGAAGAGAGAAAGAGAAGCAGAAGAGAGAGAACGAGATTTCGAGAGAACGCCGGAAAGTCCAGGAAAAGTGAAGATTCACCAGGGGCTGGGAGGCCTGCCAGCTCCCTGCCCCCCACCACACCTGCCTGCCGTGTACCTGGTAAATCCCAATAAAAGCCTGAGAAAGTGACCAAGGGCTCCAGGACCCTCCTTTACCCATCTGCACAGGGTCTTAGAGATCCTACTCTGTGCCTTCCTGCCGCTGCAGCCCCTTTCCCTGCACAACATGCGCACACGCCCGTTTTCACTTGGGAGTTCGGGTGCCCATAGACCCTCTCAGCACCCAGGCTGCTTCTGTGAGGACGTCCTGCACCATCAGGATCTGGGCTGTGGCTGGAAATGGGAGATGATTAGGACCCGGAGCACCTGCCGGGGCTCCTACTGGCAGATCTGGGGACATGTGGAGAACACAGACCTCCCACACTGACTGTGCCATCCTCCCTGTCCCTGCACCCTGACTCTGGGCCACCTCCCCACATCCTTACCCACTTCTAACCAGACATGCCCCTTATTTACTGTCACAGTCTCCAGCCTCCCCTTCCCACCAGGACACACGCTCCACAGACCAGCAAGTTGGGCTGTATTTAGTTCATTGAGGTTTCCTAGGTGCAAAAACAGCCTGTCACACATCTGATGCAGCAATTAATTTATGAATGATCAGGGATCAGGGTAAAGCACCTCCCCATTGCAGAGACAGTGTCTTTACTAAGGTAGCCTCAGACCACATTCTACACACACCTCCACTCTCAGAGACGTCAGTGTCCCCTCTATTTTATCCCAAATACTGCTCCTTCCCCCCACCCCCATCTTTTTCTCCCACACCAAACCTGCACACCACAGCTCACAAGAATATTTGTCCATTTAGAAAAGAAGATCCTGGGTGGCACAGGGGTTAAAGACACAGCTCTATCAAGCTATCCACAGCCACTGCAGCACAAGTTCGATCCCCACCATGAGGTGACCCACATGGCGCCCCAGACCTCTCCTGTCTCACCCGCTGCTCCCCTCAGAAGTGTATGTCAGTCAGTCTGCCTGTTCTGTTCCCCACTCTGTCTCTGGAGAATCCTCTCACCGCCCCCCTACCTCTGGCCTACACCCCAGTTCTTGTATGCATAAATAAATAAATCTTTAAAAAAAACCTATAAAAAAAAAGAAAAGAAGATCCTAAGTTTATGGATCTTATTGTTAACCAGCAGTGAACATAGCTTAGATCTGGGATATCAGACCTGAGGGTGGGGAGAGGGGGCAGCTGCAGAGAAGACAGAAACCCAACAGGGACTCATCTAAGAAGAGGAATTATCTGATCCTCTTCTCTACTAATACCCAAATTGGGTCCTTTTAAATGGTGGGGAAAAAGATGGAAATCTTTTCAAAAAGTGTTCCAAAACGGAGCCTCCCTGGTGGCACAGGGGTCAAAGACAGAACTATC